ACTTCCGCCCTGAGTGCATGATAAATAGATAAATAAAAATTCATTGTTTGAGCAGGCGACAACCAAACAGCAGCTCACTGGATGTATTAAAATACCTCATCTTCCGAGTCGGCAGGGATGGTGTAGTGGCAAGTGGCGCTGGTTACCACGGGCACAGCCCGGGAATAGATCCTGAACGTACGGTGTCAAGTTCAATCAAGCCTACCATCACTGCGGGGTCGGCAGTTGGTACCTGAGTGCAGTAGATGGATAAAAACACTGACTTGTATGTCGGCGTGCCACTACGATTCCGAAAGGTAAGAGGATATATGGCGCAACCTAGGAAGAGAATGATCGATGTCGCATGCTTTTGAATAGCGTATTTTTTTGGCAGGGTAAGAAGACTTAAATATTCCGCTTTATTTATCCTCTGCCGCCCAGTGCTCAAACTGAGGACATAAATTATAGAAGTTTGTCCGTAACTGTGGATTAGGCTAGAAAGTCACAGTCGTATTCCACGAACACTTACAGCAGCGGTCAAACGTGTTTGCCGAAATGGTTTCTCGTGCACTGCTTCCCCTCAATTGAGCAGTTCGCTTCAAACGTTCATACTTTGGATATTCTAGTGTTTTGGACTCCTTGGGTTTTGAACATTGAAGACATTCGAAAGAAGAGGTCTTCGGCTTACCTTGAGGTTGTTTCTAGGAAAAGAAAGTGGAAGGCCAAGGCACTGTTTTGGCGCATAGTTTTGATCGCTACTGTATATCACATAAGTTTGGCGCGAATTCCTGGCGCCGGCTCCACAAGCGCCAGCGCTGCCACATTAGCTCTGCGCCGACGCATATTTTAATGTGATAGATGTATTAGGTGTTTCAGAAAGTTCTGTCGTTTTCCAGCCCCTAATTTTAAATGCACGTATCTCGGCTTGGGCTAAACCTTTCGAGTTGATTAAAAAACCATTTGAAAGCGCGAATCTTGTTCTATAAGGAACCGTTTAACAGGGTACGTTTATCTGGAATGCTGGACCTTCAATTGC